CGACTATGGAAGGAAGAAAGGAAGGAAGGCGCACTGCTCGGATAGGACAGGATGGGATAGGCTGCGCGATAACAAGAATAAGGTAAGTCCCTCCACACGGGAAGGACCTCGGATTCCGGAACATTGGAGCGACGGCGATCGTGTAAGGGAGCGATCGTACGAGAGCAGCTCTAGTGGGTTTGCTCATATCACGCATGTGCCGTGGACAAGGGCTAGTGTCCTCTTCTCCGATGTCACCTCCCGCCGCCGCCCTGAGCGGCAGACTTCCCGGCGTATCGCGCTAGGGCGGGCGGTCAGGCATACCAGGGCGCCTATAAGTCTAGTGTGCCCTCGATGACGATGAGGCGGGAACACAGCCCGCGCCCCGCCGGGGTCCAAGAAAGCCCAAGGCGAAGGCACGGTGACCAATTACACATAATAAAGACAGGAAGAGCCTGCGTGTACCCGACATGTTGTTTGTCGTCTTCGCGCGCGAAAACGACAGGGCGTCGAATTCGGGGAAAGGAACGAAAGGCTGGACGGAAGGGGGGTGTCAGAACAGGGGCACTTCCCGGTAAGGACGCAGGAATACGAAAACCGAAAGACGAATGAGGAAGGCCGGCCGGGCGACGTTCGATGGCACCTGGCATTTGGTTGGCTCTGAGAGCGGATTGGAAGAAGGCTTCGCTAACGTAGCTTCTGATTTGTGGTGACGCGATGGCTGAGGGCCACTCCACGGAGTCGGATGGCCAGCAAAGGACAGAGAGAAGAGATTTGGCAAGGAAAGGAAAGGGAGCGAACAACGGAGTTACGAGTGACAAGCCACCGAACAGGGTAGCAAAGCGTAGTTATGAGTCCAACAGGAGGCGGAGAGCATCCGCAGATGAGGAGCTATCCGAAGCGAGGCTAAGTGACCACGGCCGAGGAACGCCGCGATATTCGAAAGACAGGAATTCTCCTTCCTTGGGCGCGATCACTCGCCCCTTGTAGGCGCGCGCCTCCTTGCGAAGTGTGATCTTCGAAACGATCTTGACGACGCGGATGAAAACGTGATCGCTGGACGGCGATAGCTCAAATCGCGCGAGAATAGCTCCTGCACGCCAATTAGGATGCGATGCATAGGAGGAGTTTAACAAAACTTACCTCTGAAAGCATATCCTGAATCATTGAAAAGTTTCTGGAGCAGAAAGACCCCAAGTTTTTCGCGCCCCACGATCGTCAGGCGCAGCTCCCCCTGATCCATCGCGAGAGCGAACGGCTGCTCAAGGTGGAAAATTAGGGTTTCCGGATGTAAGACCCGTCGTCCCGAAAAGACTTTCCGGCACTGATCCACCGTTGTGGCCGTGAGTAGCCCGTCCTGGTGCAATTTGCGGAGCGCGCTGGCGCAACGTTCGTATGCCACGATTTGAGGCAACACGATCTGCCACGGGAGCCCGTTGGGGAGCAGCAAGTCGCTCCCGACCGCGTCGTCGGAATTGACTCGCAGTCGTATCGCGCCGGCAAAAGGGGATTGCACCGGAGGCGGGAGGTAGTACAAATAGCCGTAAGCATGAGGCGGGAATGGAATCATGCGGCCCATCGACCAGTGGTAGGAGAGCCTGAAGGGTGGATCCCCTTGGTTGAAGTACACTAGCAATTTCTTTCCGCCGGCCAGGTCGATAAAATCTGAAGATTTGAGATTCTCTGCACGAAGGGAGGACACAACGTGTCGAGTGATGGCTTTAAAACTGGCATAAGATAAACAACCGAGGGGCGACTGACAGAGAATCGAGGAACCAACCGAGGGCGATTCTCAGTCGAATACGTGCGGCGGGGTAATTTTTGTTGAAAACGAAGACAATGAGCTGCATTTTCCTCCCAAATCCATCGAAATAAATGCAGCATATCAAACTCTTGGATTGAGGTTTGGAGCCACGCGATTCGGATCTAGCCAGAATGCTTGATACCTGCGGTTTCAGTCAGCGAGGAGATGAGTGAGCGCGCATGACTGAACTGTGGATTATCGTGTGTCCATCGAAACTGAAGGTATTAGGTAAGCCTTGAATTAGGCCAGTGGATCATGTGATCGGACCGTGGGTCCGGACTGGTGGTAATCCCCATTTTTTTTGAGTTGACTGCAAGGTCTTTTGGAAAAAGGGCGCGGATTTAAACCTCCAGTTCCCTTGATTTCTCTGGATTTAAATCACTGACAGGGGACGGAGAATCTGTTTGATTCACCAGGGATCCATCTTGTCATGACTTTTGCCAGCAAAAAATGAAGACTGATGTTTCCTTTGAATTGGTTTTTAGGCTCATTGAACGAAACGATAAAAACTTGACTAGATGCGTACCCACGCCCTTCGGGGGAGTCTAACCCCCGTCTTCCCTGTACTTGCTGTGTTCTTCGTGAGAGCCAGGGATGATCGATCCACTAGGGCTTCATCGGCGAGGTTCAGGGCCCAATAGGTTTGTGTGGGCCCAGGAACTCAAAGGAAGTGTCTATACAAGTTAATCAGTGAACGTACTTCCCCTTGGAAGAATAAATAAAAAACTTTTCCCGTCAAAATGACACTGGAGGGAATCGAACCCACGTTGAAAAGACCGACGACAGATGCGCATTCAATAAATCCTCTCACCTAACCACTCACATAAATGAATGAGAATTTATTCTCTGCAATGAGTAAGAGAACTGGTTGGAGAAAAAACAGTACGGTTGTAAGAACTTGTTTCGTGGTCAAAAGAAAAAATGGTAAAAAGTACATAGGCTTCTGCATTGCGAGGATTCGAACCTCCGTCTCCGCTTCAATCAATCGATGCAGCACTTTGAGCTGCCTTGATCTACCGGCTTCCTTGGCTTGCTTTGAGGTAATATGAGTTCCGCATGCTGGACACGAACTTTTGGGATTGAAGTAGGGTCTGTGAATCAGTTTGAATTGACTTGCCTGGTGTTACGGTAGAACGTGGCATTGTTGCAAGGCATGGAGAGAAATTTCAGTAGAAAAAATCATAGGCACGGCGACGGTGACCGAAGTGCTAGAACGAGAGGTACAAAAAATCTCGATGGAGATTACCACATGCCCCACGGAGGAGTCGAACCTCCGGCTTCCATTACATCGCATACTACTACTAACTGGAGAGGATTAATATCGGCGTTGATATACCAAGGCTTGTTGCAAATCAGGATCAAGTACATTCCATGTGGTGGCTTATTATGATCCTGAAATCTGTAAAAATCCAATCATTGACTGCCGTCCAAAGGAATCCACCACCTTGGTGGTGTATCAAGCACTCCTGACAAAAAAAAAGTGGGTTATTAATGGAAAGTGCCCCAGGGAGGATTCGAACCTCCGGCTTCCCTGCACCCTGTATAAATACGGCAATAACTGAGAGGGATGATCTGCCTTGATCTACTGGGGCTTCCTTATCCTTCTTTCAAGACAAGGAAGGTTGTGTACTTCGGGTGCGGTGAACAGAACGATCTTGAAGAGTGAAAGCGATTGTGAGATTATGAAATTTGTAAACATTAGGGTCGTTCACAGTAGCCCTTTTTCCGCTCCTTTTTCCTTCCCTTTTTTCTTCCTTTTTGGTATTACCATCGTTTTTCACCCGTTTTTTTTTTCCTTTTCAGTTTAGCTATGTAAAAAGGTGTAAAAAGGGAAAAGAAACCATGTCTAAGTGCAAAACCCATGGAAAACCAGAGAAAAAGGAGGTGAAAAAGGGAAGAAAAAAGGGCTACTGTGAAACCCCCCACGTGAACTCCCTTTTTTCCGCCCTTTTTGCTTCCCCTTTTTGATCTTGTAGGAGATATGATGACTCTGGGGTTCACAACTCACTTTCTGGAGGTACCTTTCAAACATGTAGGGTCCCAATAAGTCCAAGGGAGTGTAAATTCAATATATGTAATTTATTTATTGGTGTACTTGGAAAAAGGACTGGTGAGCAGAAAAAGGAACAGAAAAAGGGAGACAAAAAGGGCAGGAAAAAGGGAACTGTGAACAACCCTATTGACACCTTGGCGGTTTATCAAGCACTCCTGACAAAAAATGTGGTTCAATGCACAGAGAGTGCCCCAGGGAGGATTTGAACCTCCGGCTTCCCCGAAGTTTGACAATTTCTTTCGTAATTGAAAGGGATGACCTGCCTTGATCAACTGGGGCTTCCTCACCTAATTTCAAAGCAGCACTAAGTATGTTGAGTGTTCTTGGTGCAGTGTTGCAAGATTATGATAGGATCTTGAAGAGTGGGAGAGTAAAAATTGGATTCATTGGCCGTCCAAAGGACACCGCCACCCGGCAGTGAGTGTATCAGGCCCTGGACAAAAAGGGATGGAAAATCAAATGAATAGCCTAGTGAGGATTCGAACCTCCGGCTTCCCTGCACCTTTAATGGCAATCACATAACTGGAGAGGGATGATCTGCCTTGATCTACTAGGGCTTCCTCACCTAATTTCAAAGCAGCACTAGGTATGTATGTTGGGTGCTCTGGGTACAGTGTTACAAGATTGTGTATGATAGGAGTTTGAAGAGTAAAAATGCAATCATTGACTGCTGTCGAAAGAATCCGCCACCGTAGCGGTTTATCAAGCACTCCTGACAAAAAAAATGGGTCATGAACGGAAAGTGCCCCAAGGAGAATTCGAACCTACAGCTTCCCTGTACCTTTCGTGATCTCGCAACTGAGAGGGATGATGCGCATCGATCTACTGAGGTTCTACACCCTTGTTTCAAGACAATGTAGGTTTAGTACTCTTTAAGCTCATTGATTTGCTTGACGACAGAGGACACGATTTGTGATTCAATTGCATTTTATCGAAACCTGTAACTGGAGAGGGATGATCTGCCCTGATTTACTGTGACTTAATCACCTAACTTCAAAGCAGCATTAAGTATACTCTGGGTGCAGTTTTACAAGATTATGTATGATAGGAGCCTGAAGAGTGAAAGAGTGAAAAATCAATTCATCAACTGCTGTCAAAAGGAATCCGCCACCGTGGTGGTGTATTAAGTGCTCGACCAAAAAGATGGCTATTAGTCTATGTCAGTGCCTCAGGGAGGATTCGAACCTCAGGAAGCCGGGCTTCCCTTTTACCAAGGTCTGTTCGAACTAGAGAGGGACGATCTGCCTTGATCTACTGAGGTTGTACACCCTTGTTGCAAGATAGGCTAGGTTGAGCACTCTTTGGATTCATTAATTTGCTTGACGTGTCTTGACCAGCCAGACAAAAGACGCGATTTGGGATTCAAAGTTCAAGAACGCGTGATCGCGAACCGTGGGATAAACCAACACATGAAGTCGTCCGGGTGATGCCGGTCCGTGCTTCTGCCTTCGCCACCACTCATCTGAAAGCCTCGCCTCGGTGGCCGTTCTGCGTCGTTCTTTGAGACTCTTGGAAGAGCTATTGGAGGCTTGTATTGCCTTGGAATCTGGGACACGGACTAGGAACAGGACGAGGAGCCGAACGACATTTGGATCCTGGACTGGCATTAAGTCGCTACACGCTGGAAGATTGACTGTAGTCTGTGAGCCAACAATACTATCCGTGAGGCTCTCCATTCTCACTTGAAGCTTTCCAGTTGCTGAAAGGCTCAATAGGCATCACCAGGCCGTCGTTCATTGCTGGACAGATTTACGCTTGTCCTTGTCCAAAACGAAGGCTCCTGTAACCGCTATAAAGGACATAAATATCGTGCAAGGTCGGTCTCGAGGTGCTTGCACGTTCGTTTTGCAGGGGCTAAAGGTCTTTAAAGCGTTCCAGGAGAAGTGATCGCACACGCAATAAACAACATCGCTGAGACCTGGTATGTATGGGGCTCACACGAGCACCCGGCGCGAAGAAAAATCACCTGACCGTGTCATAGCACTGCTGACTCAGCGAACGACTTTCTTTGCTGCGGTCAACGACGACTTCAACCGGCGATGGCAGACTCGCATACGTACCCGTAAGTTTTTCATTCACGTTACTTGCGTTGTCCCTCGCTCCACACTGCTCAGCTTCAGCACCCCGTACACGGCGGTTCTGCATACAAACTTCGTGCCTCTCGAAGCTGAATGTCTACGCATTCGGGATCTCGTTGTCGCGCCGATTGTAGAGCTTGAAAAAACGACCCAAGAAATCGCGCACTTGAAGGCGAAGCTCGAACCCCTTGCCAGCAAGCAAGTAGAATTGTCCGACTTCATTGATTCGCACCTTGCGCTTGTCTCTGGCGCTCGTAGACTTCCCGACGATATCCTGCGGGAGATGTTCACGGCCTCCTCGAATGGAAATGCGAAAATCAACCCTACAGAGGCACCGATGTTGATCACCCACATATGCAGCGAGTGGCGAAGCCTAGCGCTTTCGATGCCCCAGCTTTGGGCATCATTGGATATCAACTTGAAGGTCCGGCGTCGCTTTCGTCGATCGGGGACTGCGACAAACCGCGGAGATGCAGTTGACTGCTGGTTGGCCAGATCGGGTGATCTCGCTCTTTCGATTTCCTATGAAACGGATGAAAAACTGTCCATCTCTTCGCCGATACTCGAGGTCTTCATGGACTATTCCCACCGCTGGAAACATATACGATTCATACTTCATTCCCTCGAGTCCTACGAACCACTCCAAGACCTTACCCCCGAAGAAGTACCAATTCTGGAGACCGTTGTCATGAGTCCGACTTACTATGGTGGCATTGGTGCTGAGGTGGCCGCGAATCACCTCGCCTTCCTTCAAACCAGCAGCATTCGTCGCGTGTCCCTGAGGATTTCTCCCAGTACATCATCTGCTCTCCGGGCTGTAATTGCCTGGGACAATTTACGCGATCTATATCTCCATTGTTATCTTTCCTACGTGCAGGCTCTCGACCTGTCGCGGCAGTGCCGGAACCTGGAGATATGGGTTGCGCGCATATCCGATAATGACGCGGAAGTTTCGCTGAATCGGGACCCAATTCATATGGATGCCCTGCGACAACTATGCCTCGTGGATGATACAGGGAATGGCGGTACTCGGTTCCTTGATCACGCTGTTCTGCCCAACCTTCAATGTCTCGAATACAGCAAAGAATGGGGTCATGTGGATACAAAACGAGTGCTGGGTTCCCTCCTCGCTTCAGAGAAGCTCACACGTCTGGGCCTCAGCGCCCGAATTTCGACGGACGACCTCGCCGAAAACCTACGCCTTTTCCCGGCACTGGAAAATTTGATTCTACACCAGCCCCGCACCTCTCTCCAAGATAACAATGTATTCAGTTGCGAAGTATTCGCATTGCTTACCCCGCCATCGCCGAACTCCACTGCGACCTTGTGCCCCCAACTTCGAGAAATTCGCATCTTCGGACTCAATGCAGGCTCCGACGAAGAGCTCGTCGCCTTGATCCGGGGGCGGTGCCCCGAGGCAACTGAGATTTACCCCCTTTCTAAAGTAGATATCGCCTTCCCGCGTAAGCAGACGGACATCATGGGAGAGCTCGCTGCCCTTGGTGCGAGGGTCGATATGACCCTACGTTACGCCACGGACGAACTATTGCATTTCATCGGAAGCAAGCCTATCATGTTACAGCCATGGGCAATGCAACGCCGGGAGGAGCAGCAGGCTAAAGCCGAACGCCATCCCGACAGGGACTGGGGCCCGATCTCCCGTCGGTGGGTGTCGGACTATGCACAGTGGGGCGTCGATGCAACGAGGTAAATGTTGTATTCAATGAGTCATGATTTCCATTAACACTCACAAACCAGCGACTCGGAATACGACGATTCGGAGTAACTGAGACTCTGACGAGTAATTCCACAAAATGTTTTTGAGATCCGATATTTGACATGCATTTACAAAAGGCCAAGTAGTCTCCATAGTACGAGCGGCGTTGGATAGATCTGGTAGCAAGCAGGATGAGCAGAAAAAGGTCGTCGCAGGTCGTAAGCGGTAGTCGTAAACAATTCGTAAATCGTAAATGGACGTCGAAATTCATCAGTGGCCGCATCACAAGGTATGTAGCGGCACTCGTTAGCAAGCAAGCAAGCAGATATGGGTAGGTAGATTATGATGGTGAGATAGAGGATGAGGGAGGGAATGCATGAGAGATGGCTGCACGACATGGAGCAGGCGAAGAGGCGAGCGGGAGACAGCCGTGGATGGCGTGGGGTATAACATATCGAAGAAGAGCGAAGGAAAGCCACGAGCCAGCGTAACGGATTCGACAGACAGAGGGAGCAAGGGATCCATCACGCGCGTCTCCGCACCGCGCCAACCCCGCGCCGCACAAGCACGCGCAACACAACTGCACACACGCCGAGCCCGACGAGCAGCACATACGATGGCAGCGCCCGGATCGTCGTCGGTCCCACAAAGTCGTTCTCCGCCCCCCTGCCGCGCGTCTTCACGTCCCCAGCTCCATCGTGCGCCGCCGACGCGGACCCGAAAAACGCGGCGAGGAGCCGCCGCGGGTCGAGACGCGTCAACGTGCTGTGGGGCGGCACGACAGCGGGAGTAGCAGTAGAAGCAGATGCAGAGGCAGAGGCAGAGGCAGAGGCAGCAGCGACCTCCATCGCCCCCACCTTCCTTTCCACCTCCTCGAGCCGCGCGCGGAACTCCTCCACGATATCACGCAGCACCGCGCCCTCCCGCTTCGCCTCCGCCACCTGCGCGCGCACCGCGCGCCCGCGCTCCCGCCCGCGCGCCGCCGCCTCCTCCTCCAGCGCCTTCCTCTCCGCGATGCTCTGTGCCGCACTCGCACTACTCGCGGGCGGGGCGACGACGACGCGGCCGGGCACCTCGAACGGCGCGGCGGCGTGCGCGTGCGTGGGCGTGCTCACCGGCACGCGCTTAACCGTGTTCCCGACGAGCCCCTCGTCCGCCTCCCACGCATGCACGCCGCCCGACGACGACCGGGCCGCGCGCGGGGGCTGCGGGGGCAGCGGGCGCCCGCCGGTGCTGTGCTGGGACACCAGGCCCTCCGCGGACGTGTTGTTCTGCTCGTGTTTATGTCCATGTCCGCGCCCGTGCCCACTCCGCCGCCCAGCGCGGCGCCAGCTCCCGCTGCCTGTTCCCTGCGGTTCGAGCGCAAGCAGCTCCTCGACGGTCAGCTCGTCTTCGCCCGGCGCCATCGCCGTCGTGCTGCCGTTCCCGTTCCCATTCCCATCGCCGCCAGCGCGCACAGTCGCGCCGCCCAAATCCACCACCCCCACCTCCACCCCGTCCGGTCTTGCGGGCAGCGAGCGCTGCGGGCGCATCGTCCCGCCCACGCTCATGCCGTCGCTCTCTTCTCCCCCGCTCTGGCTCTGGCTGCCAACGCTCACTTGGCTCCCATTCGCGTGCTGCTGCCGGAACCCGCTCCCGTTCCCGTGCCCGTTGCGGATCTCGCCCCCCGCGGCTCCGTTCCCGTTCCCGTTCCCGTACCCATTCCCATTTGCGTTGCTCCCCACCCTTACGCGGCGGAACCCACTCCCGCCCCCGCGCTCCGGCGACCCATCCCACTCGCTCCCGCTGCCGCCTTCGCTCCCACTACTCTCAAGCGTGCGCACCATCCCGCGCACGCGCCCGTGCCCGTGCCCGTTGCGCGCGCGGCCGCTGGGCGAATCCGCAGTGGCGAACGGGGACGGCGCCGGCGAGGTCCACGGCGCGGCGGACGCTCTGATGTGCGGCGTCGCGCCGCGGCGCGAGGGCGTGTTGTCGTCGGCGTCTCCCTCCCCGTCTTCCTCGCCCTCGTCGATGCGTGTAGGGGAGGCGTTGAGCCCTCGGGTGGGAGATGCGTTGAGCCCACGGGTGGGAGATGTGTTCATCATCCTTCGTGTCGGCGACTCACTGCCCGAGGAGACGGGGCTGGAGGAGACGTCGAGCTGGCTCTGGAGGACCTCCTGCCGGAGGGCGCGCGCGGCGGGGCGGAGGGTGGCGGGGGCGGGGGCGCTAGGAGGGAAGGGGGGAGTTAGTATGGGTCTGAGGGTAAGGGGAGGGGGAGAAAAGAAAAAGTAGGAAGGAAAGGAGGAAGCGAGCGGGTAGAATAGGGGTCATCTACAACAAGACGAGGAGGACGATGATCTAGGGAGGACGACATGGGGAAACGACGGGGAAGCAAGCATTCGGAGACAGGATGCGGAGGAGGCGCGAAACCAAAGGAATGGGCGAGGGGGGGAAGGCAAGGTTGAGGGACGAGACGAGAGAGCGGAGGGGAACAGAGTAAAAAAGAAGAGTGGTGGAATGCGAGGTACACGGATGAGGGAGAGGGATAGCACCAGCACCGCCGAAACCGGAACCGTACACGCGTAGTGCGGCGGGTGGTGCTGAGGGATGAAAGGAACGAGGAGGGAGAAAGGGGAAGGAACGAGGAAGGGTTGGATGGTGCGGGAGTAGAGAGGGTAGAGACGGTGCGGGAATAGAGACGAGAAGGAGGACGGGAGAATAGGACGTGAGTAGGGAGGGGTGCGGGAGAGCAGGACACGGATGGAGGGGGAAAGAGGACCATAATCGCAAGTCGACGACAGGGTGAGGCGGAGAGGGGAGGAGAGAGAGAGAGAAGAAAGTGGGAGAGGGACGGGAGACAGAAAAAGTAAGAAGGAAATAGGATAGGGAAGGAGAAAAGAAAGAGAGGAAGACGAAGATCACTCGGAGGCAGGATGCGGGGAAGGGGCGAAACCAAGGGATGGGGGGAAGATGGCGAGGGGGGGCGAGGTTGAGGGACGAGACGAGGGAACAGAGGGGAAGGGTAAAAACAAAAGTTAGGAGAAGGGAGAGATGGTGCGGGAGTAGAGGATGGGAGACGGAGGACGAGAGAGACGGAGGAGACGGAGGACGGAGGAGACGGAGGACGGAGGACGGAGTAGAGAGGAAGAGGAGAGAGGAAATAAGATCATAACTGAAGCGCTGATATCGCGTAAGACGAATACGAAGGAAATGTGAGACGGCGGAAGTGGGTGTTAAAATGTGTGGATTGAGTAGGGTAGTTGGAGGGTGCACGCGAACGGAGGCCCGGAGAAGGGGGAGGAGGTAAATGGGAATGGGAGGACGGCGGGTGATGACAAAGATGAATGGGCAGCTGCAGTACGTAGTGGAAAACAGGGAAGAGGGAAAGACGCGCGAAAACAAAGGGGTGTGGGGATCGATATAGTACGGGGGTGGGAGGAGGGGAGGAGGGGGCGGGATGGGGACGCGGGAGAGGTGGAAGAGGAGGAGCAGGAGCAGGAGTGGCGGGACGGGGATGAGAGAGAGGCGGACGGCGGGCGGCGGGAAGAGGAAGAGGAGGGTCGATGGCATGTGGAGGTGGGTGGAGATGATGGATGGGAAGGTGTTAGAGAAGGAGGGCGCGACGCGGGGCGAGTGCTTGTCGGAAAAATTGGAACGACGGGGGATAAGAAGTAGGAGGTGGAGGCAAGTGGCGGATGTAGGAGTGTGTGCACGACGCTCAGGGGAAGTGGAGGCTGGACGAAAGAAACAAAAAAGAAAGCGGATGCGAAAGGAAGACAGAAAACAGAAAAAACACTAAACCACTCACCCCATCGCGGCCATCTCCTCCTCCGCCATGCGCATGAACGCGCGCCCGCCGACCCCGCGCCGCGCGGCCCACTCGCCCGCCTCGCGCGAGATCGTGCGGTCCAGGTGCGCCGCGAGCTGCGCGGGCGTCCAGCGCTTCGGGGACGTCCCATTTGCGTTCGCGTTCGTGTTCTTGTTCGCGGCCATGTTCATGCTCGCGATGCTGTTGTTGCTCACGCCGGGCGGGATCGGGAGCGCGCGCGGGCCCTGGGGGCTCGCACTCGCATTCCCATTGTTGTTCCCTGTGGCGTCGCCCCCAGAAGAGGACACAGCGTGGTGCGAGTGGGGGAGGTACATATCCTCGCTGCTGCTCAAACTGCGGCTGTACCGGTGCCCGCGGTACTCCGTCGTGCGCTTGTCCTTCGCGCCCGCGGCCCCTGAGCCCGAGTAGGAGCTGGAGTGCGACGGGGAGGGCGAGGGCGGGAGGGGCACGTAGTGGTGCTTTGTCGCGGGGGAGGCGGAGACGGAGTTGGAGCGCGAGAGGAGGGCGGTGGAGGTGGTTTTGATGGGGTAGGGGTGCGCGTTGGGCTTGATGTCCGTTGTGGCGCGCTGGAGGTGGGGGAGCTCGCCTTTGGTGGGCGAGCGCGGGCGGGGGAAGGGGAATGAGGGGGAGGTGGACGTGGTGGGAGTGGAAGAAGGTAAGGACGGAGAGGGGGAGGGGGGCGTTGGTATGGGTATAGGGACCCCTGAGGGCTGCTCTGCGACCGTAGCCATGTGTTTTTACCTGTGAGCATTAGCGTTCATCCAGGAACCGTGAAGGACCATACGTACCAGGTCTCCGCGATGTTGTTTATTGCGTGTGCGATCGCTTCTCAAACACTCTTTTGAAATTTCTGAGTCTGTCGAGACCTTTAGCCTCTGAAAAATGAACGTGCAAGCACCTCGAGACCGACCTTGCACGAGATTTATCTGTCCTTGTAGCGGTTACAGGAGCCTTTGTTTTGGACAAGGACAAGCGTGAATCTGTCCAGTAATGAACGACGGCCTGATGATGCCGATCGAGTCTTTCAGCGACTGGGAAGCTTCAAGTGAGAATGAAGAGCCTCACAGACAGTATCCTCGGCTCACAGAGTCAGTCTTTCAGCGTGTAGCGACTTCAGTCCAGTCCAGAATCCAGATGTCGTTCAGCCCCTCGTCCTGTTCCTTGTCCGTGTCCCAACTTCCAAGGCGAAAGAAGTCTCCAATAGCACTTCCAAATGTCCCAAAGAACGACGCAGAACGGGCCCCGAGGCGAGACTTTCAGACGAGTCTGGTGGTGAAGGCAGAAGCACGGACCGGCATCACCCGGACGACGTCATGTGTGCGTTCGTCCCACGGTTCGCGATCACATGTTCAACTTTAGAATAAATCGTGTCCTGTCTGGTCAAGACACATCAAGCAAATTAATGAGCCCAAAGAGTGTTCAACCCCTACCTTACAACATGGGTGTAGAACCTCAGTAGATCTAGGCAGATCATCCCTCTTCAGCTGAGTGATGGAAAGGTGCAGGGAAGCTGGAGAGCTAGCTGGAGGTTCAAATCCTCCGTGGGGCACTGAAAGTTGAAGTTAACGATTATCCTCTTTTTTTGGTCAAGTGCTTGATACACCCCCAAGTTGTTCGGTTCCTTTTGCCAGACGGCAGCCGATAATTTAATTTCTACTCTCCCACTCTTCAAGATCCTATCATAGATTCATAATCTTGCAACACCACTCCCATACTAGTTAACATACTTAGTGCTGCTTTGAAATTAAGTGAGGAAGCCCCAGTAGATCAAGGTGGATCATCCCTCTCCAATAACGTGATCAGGAAAGGTACAGGGAAACTGGAGGTTCGAATCCTCCCTGCGGCACTTCAGTGATTGAACCATGTTTTTTTTGTCAAGTGTTTGATACACCGCAAAGGTGACGGATTCCTTTGGACAGCAGTCAGTGAATTGAATTTTGACTCTCTCGCTCTTCAAGATCCCATCATAATCTTGTAAGACTAATCTTGTAAGACTGTGCCAAGAGTACTCAGCCTACCTTACCTTGCAGCAAGGGTATGGAACCCCTGTAGATCAAGGCAGATCATCCCTCTCCAGTTGTTGAATTTGATACAGATAGAAAGGGAAGCTGGAGGTTCGAATCCTCCCTGGGGTACTTGCTGTGATATCAGCCTCTTTTTGGTCTAGTGCTTCATCCACTGCCAAGGTGATGGATTCCTCTGGATGGCAGTCAATGAATTCAATTTCTTCTCTTTCACTCTCCAACATGCTATCATAACACCGCACCCAGAGCACTCGACACACTTAGTGCTGCTTTGAAATTGGGGGAGGAAGCCCCAGTAGATTAAGGCAGATTATCCCTCTCAATCATATGATGAAAGTATTGAGGTTTAGGGAAGCTGGAGGTTTGAATCCTCCCTGGGGCATTTGTTTGGTTTTCAATCCCTTTTTTTCTAGTGCCTGATACATACACCGCATGCCAAGGTGGTCAATGAATTGACTTTCTACTCTTTCACAGATCCTTTCATCTTGTAGCAGGGTACTCAACACACTTAGCGCTGCTTTGAAAAGTGGATCAATGCAGATCATCCCTCTCCAGTTACATGTTACTATGTAGGAAAGGTGCAGGGAAGCCGGAGGTTTGAATCCTCCCTGGGGCACTTGTAGGTTAACCTTCTCTTTTTTGTCGAGCCATTCACGGCGGCGGATTCCTTTCGATGGCAGTCATTGACAGTCAATGAAGTAAATTTTGACTCTCTCACTGTTCAACATGCTATCAAAAAAAATATACTGCACCAAAAGTACTCAACCTACCTTACCTTGCAGCAAGGGGATAGAACCCTGGTAGATCAAGGTAGATCATCCCTCTCCAGTTACATGTTTCGCTAATAATCATGAAATGGGAAGCTGGAGGTTCGAATCCTCCCTGGGGCATTTGCCGTCCAAAATAACCATATTTTTTTGCCAAGTGCTTGATACACTGCCACGGTGGTGGGTTCCTTTTGCCAGACGAGCTGAGACGACAGTCAATGAATTGAATTTTTACTCTTTCACTCTTCAACATCCTCTCAAAAAAATGCTTTGTATGTTGCACCAAAAGTACTCAACCTAGCCTGTCTTGCAACAAGGGTGTAGAACCCCAGTAGATCAAGGCAGATCCCTCTCCAGTTACATGTTTCGCTAATAACCATGAAATGGAAAGGGAAGCTGGAGGTTCGAATCCTTCCTAGGGCACTAAGTGAGTTGGATAACCATCTTTTTTCGTCAAACACGTGATACACCGCCAAGGTGTCAATGAATTGGAATTGTACTCTCCCACTCTTCAACATGCTAATAGAACCACACCCAGAGCACTCAACACATAGTTCTGCTTTGAAATTAGGTGAGAAAGCCCCAGTAGATCAAGGCAGCTCAGACTTCTCGATTATATGACGAAAGTATTGAGGTTCAGGGAAGCCGGAGGTTCGAATCCTCCTTGGGGTACTGTCAGTTGAAGAGAGCCCTTTTTTTTGTCAAGCGCTTGATATGCGGCCACGGTGGCGGTTATCGTTCGATGGCAGCCAATGCATAAAATGTTTACAGTTTCATGATCTCACAACCATCTTCTGTACTCCGCACTCAGAGTACACAAACTACCCTGCCTTGAAATAAGGTTGTGAAACCCCAGTGGATCAATGCAGATCATCTCTATCAGTTATGCAGACAAAGGATATGCATGGAAACCAGAGGTTCAAATCCTCCCTGGGGCACTGGCAGTCAACAGAGATAACCACCTTTTTTTGGTGGGGCGCCTTACGGTGGGGGGTTCCTTTCGATGGGCAGCCAATAAATTGAATGAGATTTCAGGATCACAGCCTTTTCGTATAATAATACACCACTCCTCTTCCTGTTTTGAAACAAGCCTTGATATACCAACACAGTTATTAATTCTCTCCAGTTATGTGTCCATGCAACGGCAGCCAGAGATTCGATTCCTCCCTGGGCTTGTGATAGACTCCTTCACTAATTTTTGTATCTCTCGCTCCAGCACTTCAGTCACCGTCGCCGTGCCAATTCTACCAACCAATAAAGTTAAACTGAGCCACAACCTGTAATTCACATGTCAGTTATGCAAAGTTCTGAACTTATCTTGCCTTGTATCTATCTATGTACAGTTGGATGGCTCACAATGCATTAGGTCAAAATGCATAGTGCTCATATTGCATAGGATTTGGGCATCCACCAACTTGGTAGGCTGTGATTTTATGCAATTTCCTCGCAATGCATAATACATAAGGTTTTGGGTCCCATTTATGCATTTTTTGAGGAAAATCATACCATGTTCCAAGCCAAATTGAGAGCTCTTAGGGCTCAAAATGCATGTCTTGACTGAAAGACCTCAAAATCCACCCATTTAGGCAAGGTTTAGCCCATTTGGTCATATTGTCACCATTTTGAGATGATTATGTCATGGCAGGTATTGTATCTACGTAAGCTGGAAAAATCATCGAGGCTGCAAAACTTGAATATTATGCAGCTAGCTGCACTCACATACAATCATATGTGATTTAAGTCAATTTGACACTTAAAATCTCCACACCAAAGTTAAAATATCGAAAATGTCACACATGTCACACTCATGTGACAGACTCGGTAATGCATATTGCTCATAATGCATAAGGTTTGGGTGTCCACCAGCCTTATGCATTGTGAGCCATCCAACTGTATATGATTTTTTCTACTAAATTTCTCTCCAGTGCCCCGCAGCAACGCCACGTTCTACCGTAACACCAGGCAATAAATAAATTCAAACTGATCCACAGACCCTACTTTAATCCCAAAAATTCGTGTCCAGCATGCGGAATTCATGCTACCTTAGAGCAAGCCAAGGAATCCGGTAGATCAACTCAATCAAACTGTTGCGTTGATTAATAAAAGCGGAGACGGAGGTTCGAATCCTCGCAACGCAGAAGCCTACTTGTTTTCCATTTTTTTTTTGACCATGCAGTGCCGAGATACAAGTTAACAAGTTCATACAACCATATTGAAGGTTTTAAATCATCTGGTTTTTTCTCCAACCAGTTCTCTTACTCATTGCACAGAATAAATTCCCATCCGAAATTGTGTGGACACTGTGACCAAGTGGCTAGGTGAAAGAAGTTATTAAAAGTGCACCGCTGTTTCGTCTTTTAACGTGGTTTCGATTCCCTCCAGTGTCATTTTGACGGGAAAAGTTTTTTATTTGTTCTTCCAAGGGGAAGTACGTTCACTGATTAACTTGTACAGACACTTCCTTTGAGTTCCTGGACCCACACAAACCTATTGGGCCTTGAACCTCGACAATAAAGCCCTAGTGGATCGATCATCTATGGCGGTCAAAGTGCACTTTTAATAATCCGCTACACTTTTTGGGGAATTTGACTTTTCCGCTACTTTTATCACGAAAATCACCACTTTCCGCTACTATTTTGAGTCACATCAGACCAAAAGAGTGTAGCGGAAATCTTACGTTTTCCGCTACATTCATTTGACAGGTTTGTGATCCCGCTACTCATTTTGTGACTCGATCCATTTCCCGCTACTTTCTTGTGAGTAGGTTCATCCCGCTACTTTTTTTCGAGAAAAATAAAAACCTTCCATTCTTCTATATAACATACAATATACCTACGGCATACTCTAAAACACGCTAGGAAGGCATGTACGACAGAAATGAGCGAGACATCACGACCTTGGTTGAGGCACGTGACCGCGACGGAGGCGCGTTCGCCGTTCTCGGCGCGCAACGGCAGCAGCACGCAACCGCAACCAGACCCGCTGGTGCTGTCGCTGCGCTCGGGGCGCTCGGGATGGATGTCGAGCTGCGTTGTCATATTTTTTGTACACCACCCTGCCGTCCTGCGTGGGCCACGTCGACATGCAGCGTGGGGGTGCCACCTGCTCACGCTCACCAGTCGCTCACCCAACCCACTGACATCTGATTCTGTTCCCCTTCCTTTCCCCCCCTCTTCTATCGAGCCAATCACCCCTCCCGCCTCATATCCGGTTCCAGCATCACATGCCGATGTACGCCGCCACCATGAGCCGCCGGATCGCTAGCCAGGCCGCCGACGCGGACCCGGTGCTGCCTTTGCGCGCCGAGAACGCGCCTCCGTCGCGGTCACGTGCCTCGACCAAGGTCGTGATGTCTTGCTCATTTATGTCGTACATGCCTTCCTAGCGTGTTTTAGAGTATGCCGTAGGTATATTGTATGTTATATAGAAGAATGGAAGGTTTTTATTTTTCTCGAAAAAAAAAAGTAGCGGGATGAACCTACTCACAAGAAAGTAGCGGGAAATGGATTGAGTCACAAAATGAGTAGCGGGATCACAAACCTGTCAAATGAATGTAGCGGAAAACGTAAGATTTCCGCTACACTCTTTTGGTCTGATGTGACTCAAAATAGTAGCGGGATGTGGTCATTTTCGTAATAAAAGTAGCGGAAAACTCAAATTCCCCAAAAAGTGTAGCGGATTATTAAAAGTGCACTTTGACCGCCATAATCATCCCCTGGCTCTCCCGAAAAACACAGCAAGTGTAGGGAAGACGGAGATTCGACTCTTCCGAAGGGCATAGATGACTTGTGCGGTCAAGGAAATTTATCGTTTCGTTCAATCACTACGGATACCCAAAAATATCCGGGCCCGGATCAGTTCGCAGTTGGTTCGTCTTCACATCTGTCCAGAGTTCCAGGGAATTGCACCTCTTTTGAAATTCAGACACCTGTCCGGACCCGGATTCATACTCGGGAATATGAAGTGATCGGGAACCTGTCCGGACTCCCGATTTGTGTCCTGTCTACAATTTGAACATGCTCGGGCTTTCCGAACAGGTCCGAGCAGCTCTTGTG